TATTCGGAGGGCGCACGCTCACGCGAGGCATCAGCGCTGTATGGATGGGGAAGAAGGGCAACGGAGCTTTCTACCCTGCCAGGAACTTGTGGCTGCCGCAGAGGGTTGTTCAAGAAGAGGATAGCTTTTTGTGGACCCTTTGTGACCTGAGGGAAATGAATGACGCTGGAGTCCAAAAGGTGGGACCTTCTGTCAAGTTTAGCATCGCTGTTAGATGTCATGATCTGTAAGAGTCTTGGTACGTCGCCGTCACACAACTGGTGGGTTTGTCTTGTTTGAGTGTACCACTTTTTGGTGGCCATGGTTTTGAATAGAAAAATTTTGCGACCATGGCCACAGACGAGCCGTGCAACGGAGGATGGCATCGCTTGCCCGGATTCCCTTGCGCCTGAGGCCCACACGCGGCACCGCCTGCCTTTTGTCACAGTGCCTTGGAAGAGGTGGACAGCGCGGCCCTGAGGTCATCGTGCAAGAGATGGGTGAGATGGTTTTAGAGTTTAAACATGGGAATTTGGGGCAAGTTGTCGTCACCTACAGGAGCATTGCGACCTTTTTGAGGCAGGCTCCTTTTGTACGGAACCCTGATTGTGTTTGAAAAATTAGAGTTGACCCAGACATTTGCATGCATTTATTGCACCACAAGGGCTGGGTGTGCCGTGTCTCGCATTGCCTTGCCAACTCAGCAAGACATCGCCATCGCCAACCGGAACCCGTTCCTCGACGGGGTGCTGCTCTCAACGCAGACGCGAGGTTCTGGTTTTTCAGTTGCTCAGGGTGTCAATTGAATGCGCCGTGCCCTAAGAACTCTGCTCCGGCGCAAGTGGCGCAAGTTTGTGAAGGGCACACTTAGCACCCACCTTTTTTTTGATGAGGGTGGTTGGGCATATGTCGCGTTCCGATCTGAGGTCTATGCTCCGGACAATCCTCTGCCCGTTGAATGGGCGAAGCGGCAAGCAGTGCCAATGGACCTGAAGCCCGTGTCTCAGCTCTCCCCTGTGGCTGACGGCGACTGGCCCGTTGCAAGGTGGGGCAAGAGCGAGGAGTTGCGCTTGGACAATGAGGAGCGCTTCCTGTTGCCCAAGGCACGCGGCAAGCTGCCGGATAGTAGGACTCACTCATCGAGTCATTTTTTTTGGAGCTTGGTTTCGAGCCGTTGGTACGCGACATGGCAGTTCTCAATTTGGGACACCTCCAGCCACCTGAGGCGCAATCAAAACCCGAGTACTCGGAGGGTAGGAAGGACAATCCCAGCCATGATTGGGTGCGGCAGCCTTATCAAGTCTTTACATGGTTCTGGGCAGACCATTTTAATTTCTGGTTTCGATTATGACTCACCTTGTGCTGCCGGAAATGCAGAGCCTGCCGAGAGGCGCCAGCTTTGGAGGACAGACATCGGCCGGAGTTGGATGGAGCTCAAGTTGTTTGAAAATAACAGTCCCCTTGAAAAGTGTAGAGACCCACGGCAAGCAGTCTCTTTATCTCCCTGAAAAGGGCAGGGGAAAAGGCGGGGGGGGGGGGGCTCAAATGAAGAAATCCGGCTGGACGGCTTTCAGGATGAAGGGGAACCAGAAGGAACTCTGCCGTTTGGAGTCAACTCGTTTTGGCACAAACCGGCTTCTTTGGTGCAAGAGGTTTGCGTTGCCACGCAGGAAAGCTCCTCCACACCCGACACATGAGGTGTAGGCCACGTTCTTGACCCGCCAGCTGGGCCAGTTCTGTGATACCTGCGGTGTACATATGGATCTTATGCGAGAAGTGCGCGTGCACCGCTTGAGCCATTAGCTTTGAGACCGTGCCGGGTGCGGGGGTGCGAAGGGCATGCGCGGAAGGCACCTGCAAGCGGCACTCGAAGTGCGGAGTTGCGGGACCAAAGTGTTGCGCGTCAGCTGGAGTCGTTTCAGCCAGCGCGCATGAGACAAAATCAAGAACATGCAGGCGGGAGATTTAGCTCGGGAAATTCGAGCGGGGCGTCAACGGGTGGAGAGAAATGATCCAGGTCCAAGGTCCAACATCCATCAACCGGGAATTTCTTTGGACTTGCACTCGGTGTTTGACACGGATACGGACTTCACCTCCGGGGCCGGTTCCACGTTTGCCACCCGCCGCGTCATTCAGACCAACCAGACTTGGTGCGTTCGTGAGTTGGCGAGTCGGTGACACGGCAGGTCTCGGGCCCTTAGCCGCAGAAGTTTCGGCTTTAGGTTTTTTTTGGCTCTGTTCATTTTGAGTCAAAAATGTTGTTTTGCTGCCCTCCCAAGGGTTGGAAGTTGTAAGGGAATACACGTGGATCGAGTCACTCTCCAACTATGTCAACCATTAACCACAGGGAATTCCCCCCAATGACGGTCCTTACTCAATGTGATACGAATACTGGACTAGCAAATCAGAGTGCAGATGCACATCTCCTGCGGGGAGGAGATTTATCACCAACAACAGCTGCCAGCCCCCAAGAGTCAGGCGAAGATTGGTCAAGACAAGAGCAAGGCTACTTCCAACATGTTGCTGCATACCAAACCAAGTTTGGTCTCTTTTGTCAGCTTTTGTCAAACTCAACAATCAGTTGGTTTAGGAGTGGGACGACCCTTGCTTTGTTGAAAGTGTTGGACATTGAGGAAGCAAATCCGGCGTGTCTGCATGGGTTCTTTCACAACCAGGACAGTTTTTTCGAATGCTTGGTTCCAAAGTGGTGCGCAAAACGGCCCAACTGAGTCTAGATCTCAAAAACGAACACAAACACATACCCATACCGCCCGGGGTTGCCCCCCCAATTTTTGAGGGAAACCTGACGACCTATCCATTTTCGACCCCGCCGCATGATGAGCCATGGCTGCGGAACCGCCCAAGAGCGAGGTTGTCAGGTGCTCCTACGTCGTCCCCAACAAGGGCAGGCAAGCTCAGATACGCGAATGAACGGAACATACAGCAAGGAACAGGCATACGAGATCTTACGCGGTCAAACAACAAGCCTTCCCCAAAATGCACGGACATAGACACATGTGTATGGTCAAAAGCGGAAGAGTAGACGCAAATGGACACCTCAAAACCCGCGTGAGATGGGGAACTCTCGGGGCTTTGACCTCGAGCAAGCACAAAATTGATGGTGCGGCTTGTAAGCACCAGCCTGCTGGACGGGAACAGAGGTAGCTGGGCGGCCCTTTCTTGCAGGTGATATGTATATACACACATTATGCCTATGCTCTTGTATATGTACACCTTGCATGTACAATTATGCATGCATTAATTTATGTTGAGATACATATAAACGTTCCACCCCCCTGTTTTGCTCTAGCCAGATGTGTCGTTTTCGTTTGGACGGCAAGCTCGCTCTCCCGTGGCTCTGGGTTCGGAGGCGTTGCCGCTTCCCGGTTTTGCCGGGCACGGCGCGCTGCGGGGCGCACCGAGAGGATGAGGACGACGGGGCTCGGATCCCGTGCCCTTTGGATCCCAACCACACGGTCTTCGAACGCCGCCTCAAGCAGCACCTCAAGGCGGGCTGCCGCGGTGCTTCCTTTTCCAATTGGGGGTGTCGTTTTGCGAGCACCTCTTCTTTTTTGCGGGTTTTTAACGGGAAACCAAGAAAATCCCTATGGGTTTTTTAAGGGGAACCAAGAGGAAAAGCACAAAGGGGGGAGTCCCCGAAGGAAAAAAAACAGTTTGAAGCCCGAGCCAGGTTTCCAACTGGAAAAACGGCATCCAACAAAAAGGCTGCACTTCGGCATGAAAGACGACCTTGGCAGATGGGCCAACCCTGATGGGCTTTTCAATAGTTTCATTGGATCCTCCCAGAAATTGATCAACTTTAGGCACCCTCCGGTGGCTGGTTGCAAAAAACACCATCAGCTCAGCCCAGTGCACCTGCTAGAGCATAAGAGGGGAACAAAACGGTAGGCACAAGCATAGCTGTACCAAACAATAGTTGGCTGGTGTGCACCTTTTGCATGAATGTGCATCATGATCGGTGGGTTTGGCAGCGTCTTGCTTGAAATGGATGGCCATCTACTCAGTTGCCTATGAGGCAGCGAATGACGAGGCAGTGGCAGAGGATGTTCTATGACAAACTTTTTCTTCCGCTTCCATGCTTCCTGGAGGAATGGTTCTACATTTTGGCTGCCAGCGCAGATGGCTTATTTCATATTTACCCCGGGATAAAACTCTTTGATTGTGGCGGCATGAGTGCAAAATAGAACAGTCTCCGCACATTCTGTTCACCTCTGCCCATTCCTGTCACCCGCTACATGAAGCACAGAACTTTCGCGCAAACCAGAGGTGTGCACCAAAGTGCGTGACCGGAGCGTCGTGGAGCGCCAGCCGTTTTACCACCCGCGCATCAACCTCCCGACCGAAGACACGGCGGCTTCGGCTTCCGCGCCGCCGGTGAGTGCTGCGGGTGCGGAGGTGGTGCAGAGGTGGATGGCGCGGATTGAGGGTGTGTGGCCCAAGGCGGTGGAGGAGGCGCCAAGTTGGAGAAACCGAAGTAGTTGGAGTTTGGGGGAACAGCCATGAATACGTGCGGCAGTTTGCTCTTTCTTTTTTCTCCGGGTACATTGTTTTGGTGCCAGGTTCTGATTGCGACTCAGTCAAAAAAGACCTGGGTGGTCACCATTTGGGGTCTATGGAACCTCCCTACCATGGAAGATGCCCGAGAAACAAAGGGGGAGATGATGAAGGCCGCCCCGTATGAGGTTTGGGTTGCAACCATCCACACTAAACCAGGTTCTAGGAAAGGCCAACCGACTTTGTCTAGGGAAAGTCGTTTTGCCTTTTTTGGGGTGCTCACCAAGCACGGTTTCTCACCCACATGGTCCACACACTTCAAATGGAGAACCAGGTTTTTAAGGCTATTTTTCCAGTGTCCTTTGCGTCGCGCCTTTTGCAAATTTCCAGCGCAACCGGCTCAGAGTGCACGCTGAGAGCAGAGGTTCTGGGCAGAGACATCTCGGAGCAGATCTTGGAGTGGTCTGTGGTCGCCCACGGCGATGGTCTGGCGCATGCGGATGCTT